CAGTGCCGCCCCCACCCCCACCCCCACCCCCACAGAGGCTTCTCCTCCTGTCCTTAGGCAGGGATGGGTGGGGTTGATATTCTGCTTTGGGTTTGTTCCCTGCCTGGTGAAGCAGCCCTCTGCCTAACCTTCCTGTCCTGTCTTCTTTGCCTCCAGCACATCTAGCACTAGTCAGGTTTTTAACTTTCCTCTTGGCCACCATTTGACCTTTACTTCAAATTTTTCTTAGTGATACGCCTGGCACAGTAAGAACAAATGACATACATGTTTAATACAAATGAGATGCTTTCACTGGGCTTGGCAACCATTCATTTGTTTGGGAAAGAATTATAGTATCTATTACTAATTATGTACTTAAAATATTAGCTGGATGCCCTTGAAATTTTCATAGGCAACTGCATTTAAATAGCTAGTGTAAATATCCAAAATAACAACATATAGCAGTAATATATAGCAGCAAACCCCAAACCCAAACTATAGGGAATGTACATTTTATATTTGTAATCAGAATTTAATGTTCATTTTTACAGGAAAATTAAATATGCTTAATTGTCATTGATAGCTTCAATGTTGGAAATAAACTAATTTAAAAATGCTTTTAAAAAGCTCACCATAGGATCACCGGGTTTGAGTTAGATAGAAATTTATCTTCAGCGTGCGGAGTGTGAAACTGAAAGTTCTATCTTTCAGTGATAATGACATGAAATTATTTTAACTGGGAGACCAGGATCATTTTTTAGGCCAAAACAGAAGCTTCCAGTAGATAAAGTTTCAAGTGCTTGGCATTTATTTGTCCATGAAAACAACTCTAATAAAAGACTATAAAGTTTAAATGGGTACATAGTTGGAAAATAACTATGGTACTCATAAAAACTAGGTGGTAGAATCTATGGGTGAGAAGTCTAAAACCATGGGGAAAAAGATAAAGTCTTGGGAGGTTAAAAGCTAGAACATATTCAGCAGGTTCTCCCTAAGAGATGGAATTTAGGGTTGTTACTAAGTCCCAGAGGGCTCCCTCTAGGAAAGAACAAATCTCCCAGATCTGCTCTCTTGTCAGCAACCCTGAGGGGGCTGAAGACTGCTTTCCTCCCAGCCTTGCACCTGGGGAACTGGAGCAAACTTATGCCAGAGATGTTGCACAAGGCAGGCTGGCTGGATGTCAGCGGCCATGCAGGAACTGTTTCCTTCCCTCTCTCCTGCAGCACTCAAGAAAGCAAGGTAGAGAGTAGGAAGGAAGGCAAGGCTGGGACCCTGAACCTGTGGTCATCTCTAAAGACTCTGGTCTTTCCTTGGGCAAAACTGTGTGGGATTGTCCCCTGGCTCGGTCATCATAAGAGTGACCTTAGGAAGTTGGTTCTGGTGCTGAGATGTGCCGTGGGTTTGTACCCATGGACAAGGGTTAGAACAGACCTTGCGTCACAAGGCTGGAAAGATGCAGATGGTTAATGCATGCAAATTGGTCAGCATAAGGCTTGGAACAGGTGGTTCACATTCCCCCAGGCAGCCTGAGTCTAATCACTGTCAGGGACAGAAAGAAGGGGCCCACACTGTACCTTCCAGTAGAACCTTGTACCTGAGTCAACTCTGCCCCTAGAAACCACAGGTGCTTCAAGACAACTGTATGCTACTAGGTCTTTCCCTTCTCCCCTTTGGGTTCTTCATCTCTACTTGGCTAAATGGAACCATTCACAGGTTTCTAGATGCTCACAGGCTCTGCCCCCTCCTTACTGTTCAGGCCAAGTTCTGCTCATGTCTTTTCTATCCTGCCCTGGCTTTGACCTTGTCCATCTCTTGCGTTTGCATCTTCATGGTGTTAATTTATCACTGCAGTCCCCAGAGTGCAGTGGCTGCTCAGTGATTCTTTGACAAACCCACAAGTGTAGTGTTGGTTGCTGCAAAGGTCAGTCCCACAAGTGCTTTTAGAAGGCTGCCCCAGCATCAGGCAGAGCAAGAGGCTTTACACCAGAGTTTTCTTTCTTATGATGAGTCCTTATGAAGGCTACTTTTGAGGCCCCAAACATTGAGCCGCTATTCACCAGATGCCTAAATACTTGACTGTAGATGCCTTATCATTGATTAAGCAAAATTCCTCCACAGAATGCCATCCATGACATAATGAAGCCATGTGTGACATAACATCTGCTTCTTAGAAACAAGTTCAGAATATCATCAAATTAAAAACAGAGTGTAGGAAAAAGAGGGCCATATGCAGAAGTTTGTAACTAAGAACATATGTCAGTGAAAAGAAAATCTAATAGCATATTTTATTACTAATTATTTAAATCAACATATAAGCAATTTCCTCCAATGCTACTACAGGCTTGCATGCCATCTGAAAATGAGTACCATATATTTCATGGACTCTGAGATGCTATCAGTCATAGATGTACTATTATGCTATGCACCATCAAGGAAGAAAAATATGCTGAGAAATAACAGTGACACCATGGTCGGAAGAGACACACCCACTCCAACTGTCTCTATACTGGGTTCCAGCATAGTGTTTATCTCTAGAATGGCATCTCACAACCAGAGGGGCGTTCATATACCCTCATCCTGCTCTCTTGGGATCTCTGGCGGTGTCTAGAGACGTTTTCTTTGTCACACTAGGGTAGTTGTATCAAGTGGTTAAAGGCCTGTGTTGCTGCTCTTACAGTGTAGAAGGAAGCTTCCCACAACCAGTAATGCAGATGAGATCTAGAACAAACAAGAATTCCTTGAACCTTTTATAATCTAGCATGAGGAGTATAGTCACTTCTGGATTATGTTTGCCTGTTGTTCCCACAGAGCAGAGATCTTAAGCCCTGGGCTCTTCAGAACACACACACACGAGAACTAGGACAAAGAATTCAAGGGGCAACCCTGAGTTGTGGCAATGATTGATTTCAGTAAATTAACCTCAGCTCTGCCTTTATTTCTTCTGCTGTAGTATAAAATCAGGAAATACGCTTGGGCACGTTCTATGTTTTAATTATATTTTTAGAGTGTACAAGAGTTGTGTGAATTAAGAAGCAGTAAAATTAAATTGATTTTTCCATATATGCAGAGAGATGTGGGGATTGATATGTATTACAGTTAGGACCAATGAAGTCAAGTGCAGACTGTTTCTTTTTGTTTGTTTGTTTTAAAGAGAATAAAGGGGCCGGGGAGATGGCTCAATAGAATAAACACTTGCCTGGCAAGCACAAGGGTCTGAGTTCAATCCCCGGTTCCGAAAGAGAGAGAGAAAGAGAGAGAAAAAGAAAGAGAGAGAGAGAGAGAGAGAATAAAAATAAAGAAAACATTAAAAATGATACTGAATTTCAAAATCAGATGATAAGAAAACAGCAATGGTTGTCATACTGCTTATTGTTATCTTCAAAGTAGTTGTTCAGATTAACAGAGAGAGGCATGCAATTTTGATAAAAAAAAATTAAGCGCCAACTGTTCCTTTCAATAAACCAATAGAAATTAGTAGCACAATTACCTTAGTTATTGTGTGTGTGTGTGTGTGTGTGTGTGTGTTTTAAAGACCAAAATACTGAACTTCACTGTGCTTTTTACCTTTTTGAGCTTGCCATTGGTTTTTACATTTTAATTTATTTATTTTATATGTACATATTTTAACAAGTACATGTTTTCAGTACATGAAGTTCGCAATCATCTTGGGGAGTGGGTACAAGGACAACATTCAGCTTGATCCTTTTCTAAATCCTTTTCCTTTCCCTCCTCTTCTCTCTCTCCTTCCTCCTCTAATTCCCTTTTCACATTTTTATTATTGTTAATATTATCAATTGTAGCTCTTGTCTATGACATATAATGTTTATATTTTGTGAATAGTTTTTAAAAAATTCATTTTGATCACTTTCTGTGTCCTAGCTTTGACAAGTTGTTCAATTCATTGCAGTACAGCTGGTCCTTGAAGGAAGATTCTGGGTGCTGTAACTCAAAGCTCTGGGACTTAGAAAAAGAAAGTTTTCTCTTGATTCTTGCAGTCTGAAATATGTCTGATTTAGCAACCTTCAACTTCTGAGGAGTAACACAGAAGCTTGTCTAAATGTTTCAAGGTTGACCAATGAGAAGAAAAAGTCAAAAAGAACTTTCTCCTTTTCCTTTGTTTTCACTCTGGTGTCAGGAGAAAATGTGTGAAAAGGGCTTTGGTGACTCTTAAGACAGTTTCATTATGACAAATAGGAGAGTAAACTTTTAATGAAAAGGCCAATAAATTCCAAATCTGAGTTGGTGCTAACCTTCATTCTAAGTGTTGGGGGTGTAAGATTACTGTACCCCAAGTAACTTCCCCAGCTACCACACTATGGGATCAGTCACCCTGAAAGACACTGAGTACCAGCACCAGCATACCCCAGAGCCCTGCTCTGGGGAGACTTTACTGGGGCTACTCACTCTACTTCCATTTCTACTTTCCCATTGTGGAAACCCAAAGTAGCTGTAGATGTTAACTACATTTTGAAGCACCCAGTGTTCAATGTTTTCTTTCTCTTGTCTTCACATAAGACCCAGTTGAAAGAAAAATCATGAATTAGGCATTTGTAGGTTACACAGAGTAAACCATGAGCTGAGATCCTCTGATCTTGGATGAAGAAGTATAAGGCTCTGCTTCTCCTCCATTGAAAGTCAGGCTTTGGAAAGGAGGATGAGGTGTTGGGGGTTTGGTCTTGCATCAGAAGTCAGGACCATATGTACTGCCTGGAATCTCCTTTTATTATGCTCAAGATCAGAAAGTAAATCCAACTACTGAAACCTATCGGAGGATTCCACTAAGACAGCAGAAGGGAGTCAAGGGTGCAGAAGAAGAGGTCTCTACTCTCTAATCATGGAACAAGTGTCTTAAGTTTGGAGAGGGAAGACCAATATGCCAAGATGACTCACAAGTCGAATTTGAGAAGTAACAGCATTTAAAGTTTTTGTTTTGGTTTTTTTTTTGTTTTGTTTTGTTTTTCTTTTCCTTCCTTCAGTGAATGTTTTCTGATCAATCACTCGACCAGTTTTCTGCTTACCAGAATATCCCCAAAGTTGATGGTTTCAAGCCCCAACAAATCCTGCTGCTCTGCCTGCAGGCCAAGTGGCTGAACTCGCCAATGATAGTTGGGGAATTCTGCTCCGAATTTCTTGATCGCTTCTTGGGAGCAGCAGACCTATATGAGGATGTTCTTCTGAGGGCAAAGGTAAGTGTAAAGAACTGGTGCTTTTCATGCCTTTTGTTGCATAATATCTATGATCCATTGACCAAAACGAATTGCATGGCTGATCCCAAAGTTGAATCATGAGTAAGTACAATCTGTCCTTGGAGGAATGAATACATCTGAACAAGGTTAAATACACCCTACCAAATATTGCCAAAATTACCTATCAGCTTCCCAGTTAAAGTCTTTATATGTTCCCTTTACTGTCCAAATGGGCAAATACATGAGCCCCAGGAGGGCAGATGCCACATCAGGAAAATTTACCATGGGTCTTTGTGTGTTATGTGTTCTTGGGTGCGAGAACTTGCATAGTTATAGGTTCACATCCAAGCCAGTAGTTATTAACTTTGGAGGGTGGTAGGTTATGGATTTTAGGAAATCCTTAAGAATCAGATGATTGCTTTGCCTTCACTCCTAATGTGAATGTCTCATGCACAGAAATATAATAATCCACGTATAATTTCAGGAGATTCAAAGGCTCAGAAGCCCACTTCTGGATCAACGTGGGAGCTCATGGGCTTGAAAGTAAGAGCTTGTTGGTAAAGGCCTCTGTGTGAATGAAGGGGAGAGTTGGGTTGGGTGTGAGTTATCAAGACAGCCTTCTGAAGAGCGGGTTGATCACTAACTCTCTTATTGTCAGATCTAACTGCCAACTAGACTTTTAGAGATTTCTAGCTTTCCAGATGTCACCATGTCCCTGGATTGTCCATATTAGAGTATTTTCAAATAATAGGGATTTATTTAAATAAATAATGGAGCATTATCAATATTTTCTAGCAATTTCCTTGAAACTGTGAGAGGTCCAGTGAAAAGTAAGTCCTGGAGATAAGGCAAATAATCCAGAAAACTAGAAGGAGAAGATACATTTTAAAGCCAAACAAAGTGATATATGGTTAAGTATCCAAATGCTGCCACTGAGGTGAGGGGTAAAAATTACCTTGCCTAATTTTCCTGTGGTATCTCTGAGAACAGAGAGGGAGATGTGAGCCCTTTAAATTACATAGCTGTCTACCCTGTGTGGTAAGAGAGCAAGGGATCATGGGACAATACTCTGTCAGGCCCAGAGGAAGGACTAGGCTTTGGAGAGGAGGAGGATTTCTGAGAAGATTTAAGTGGTGATGCTGGGAAAATGTTGCCTGAGACTCAAATATATCCTGTTTCAAAAACAATTAAATGTGTGTGTGTGTGTGTGTGTGTGAGTGTGTGTGTGTATCCTTGGATGGGAAGAGGTAGCTTGAATTTTGTACATGATGTCTTTTTCAGCCCCAAGTGAATGAACTGTGTTCATAGAGTGGTCGCTGACATCAGCCAGCACTGGGGTCACCAGCTGGCTCTCACCCTGAAAACTCCATGGCCTCGGGAAGACTTGGGCTCAGCTGAGGGTGGCATTAGTAGCAGTGCCTCGTGGCAAAGACTCATTGGCCTGGCCCACAACAGCAGCAGGGCAGTGCGCAGCTGGCAACAAGCACCTAGTAAGTGTGCACCGTTATTACTTTGTCTTGAATGTAGAAGATGTTAATCAAACTTTTTAAACTAAAATATAGGAAAGGGGTACTTTATACATGAAGTATCAAAAGAGAGAAATGAATTTCAAGCATGTTTAGATCCAAAAGTTTAAGAATTATCTATATATCTATCTATCATCTATCTATCTATCTATCTATCTATCTATCTATCTATCATCTATCTATCATCTATCTATCTATCTATCATTTATCTATCTGTCTATCATCTATCTCTATCTATCTATCTATCTATCTATCTATCTATCTATCTATCATCTATCTATCTATCATCTATCTATCAATCATCTATCTATCTATCTCTATCTATCATCTATCTATCTATCTATCTATCTATCTATCTATCTATCATCTATCTATTTATCTATCTATCTATCATCTATCTATCTATCTATCTA